CCTGGGAAGCTGTCAAGAGCACGGTGGCAGATAAGAGTTTTTCTAAAATTCAAATTTTCACTTAAAAGCTCCAGTTTCATGACTGGCAGCAAATACCGTCTTGTGCTTCCTTGGAAATAACAGGCTTCCTTTGCTCGGTTTCAAAAAATTATCTGCCAAATTCTCCAGTCTGAATAACCATAGTTTTTGAGTAAAGATGGTGTTCCATGGGGGGGATGAAAAACCCACAAACCCGCCCAGCTAGCTTGCTGACAAACCAGAGAGCAGCAGCAGAATTCTGCTCGGAGGTGACAGCGGCCAGGGGACTCCGCGGAAGAGCGCTCTGGCTGGTCTCATCCTGTCACACCGAATCCCAAGAAACTGGACGCACAGGGCTGTGCTCTAATAATGCTAGTGATTTTAACTGCTTCATGGAGGCCATTGTTAAGTAAAACTAGATGTTTTTCCCCCTGCTTGTACTCTGAGCAGAGGGTTGAAGAATTCAGGGGCTTCTAGGACAATCTTATGCCAGTGCAGCTTTACCCATTATGGCTTTTGTACCAGGCAAATGAGGTCATGGAAAAGGCAAACGGTGTCTTCAGATTAGTACGAAAATAGTTCTGACCTCCTAGAACCCAGAAAAGGTCTCGGGGACCCATAGGGTGCCCATGGACTCGACTTTGAAAACTCCTGGTTGCGCAGGAAGGGCCATGGGGCTCAGAACCAAAAGTTCATGCACCCTGAAACCCTAGCTCTTCTCTGAAGTGCTGCCTGAGACACAGAGTCCTTCTTCGTGGGGCACCTGGGTGGCATAGTCAGTTGAGCATCTGACTCTTGGTGTCAGCTCAGGGCCGGATCTCAGGGTTGTGGGATTGAGCCCCGAGTCAGGCTCTGTGCTCAGTGCAGAGTCTGCTTGAGATTCTCTCCCTCTCCCTCTGCCCTTCCCCTGCCCTCTCTCTCACTCTCTCTCAAATAAATAAATCTTTAAAAACAAAAAATAAAAAGCTCCCTTACAGGGGCAGCCTTGTGGACATTTGGCAAAAGGGACATGCTGCCAATTGTCTCCTCTCTCCCATGGGCAGGATTTCAAGATCTTTCCTTCCTCTCTGATTGCTCCCCATTGGACTTTCAAGTGTGGTACCTGCTGGACACAACACTCTGTTGAACCCAACCTGGAGTTGAGCAGAAGGATAGCCCCCAAACCAAATTTGATCTTTGCATAACAAACCCTTAGAACTACATTGGAGCAACTCTGGAAATTTAGGAAATGAAAACAAATCATTTTACTCTCATCCCATTGACAACTGCTGTTCTGTTGTGACCTCAGGTGGCCCAAACAATGTCAACTCATCCTGAATCTGTTGATGAAATCCCCAAAGTTTTATTTTTTCTGTCCTGCTACCACTAAGCCACGTCATCTTGACCCTTTCCATGTGGGGCCGGGTGAACCATAAATAGACCTGACATTCACATCTGTCCCCTGCCCTGTGGACATCTTCCGGTGTCTGGAGTCTAATGGCCAAAGTTTTTGTTTGTTTGTTTGTTTTGTTTTTGTTTGGGTGAACTTTTTCAGCTTCGTGTGATCTGCAAATGAGTTCATCCAATATCAGCGACCTCTTTCATAAATTCTCCTACGGCCATTTGAATCTGGCATCAGAACATTCAATGTTGAAACACACTTACTGATGATGTATACCTTCCCATTAGTTTCCCAGGGCTGTTATTAACAAAATACCACAAATCTGGTGACAGATGACAGAATTGGATCCTCTCACAATTCAGGAGGCCAGAAGCCTGACATCAAGATATCAGTAGGGACAAACTCACTGCAGAGGCCTTCCCAAAGTCTGCCCCTTGTCCCCACATGTCTTATGGTGGCCCGAGTGCCTTGGCATTCCTGGATTTGCGGCTGTAACATCTGCTGTCAGCCTCTGTCTTCCCAGCACCTTCTCCTCTGGGCAGCTCTGTGCTCTCTCCCTCTGCTTTGCTTTTATGAGGACGGTTTTAGATGGCATTTAAAGCCCACTGGGATAATCCAGGTTAAGTGCCTCTTCTCAAGATCCTTAATTTAGGGGCGCCTGGGTGGCTCAGTCGGTTAAGCATTGCCTTCAGCTCTGGTCATGATCCCAGGGTCTTGGGATTGAGTCCTGCATTGGACTTGTTGCTCAGCAGGGAGTCTGCTTGTCCTTCTCCCTCTGCCCCTTCCCCACCCCTGCACTCATTCTCACTCTCTCTCTCTCTGACAAATAAATAAATAAAATCTTAAAAAACAAATAAAATCTTTAAAATAAATATATAAATAAAACTAAAAAGCCTCCATTGTTGTCTCCACGTCTCATTCCAACTTTACTTCTCATTATAGCCTTTATTATATGTGACAGTAAATGCACCTTCTGTTCTGTTTTACTCCCCTCTCTTCCTTTGTTCCTTGTCTATCTCCCTAAGCACTGGGACATCACTGCCGCAAGGGCAGAGGTTTGTGTCCTTTTTGGTCCCTGTTGTATCCCCAGCCCCTTGAACAGCACCCAGCACATAGTAAGCAATCTCTAAACACTTGTTTTCTTTGTCAGCTAATTAAGGCGCAGACATTTCCTGAGCTCTTATGATATGCCAGCCACGGGCCTCGATTATCTCATTTAAATTTTTTATTTAAGATCATTTATTTATTTATTTGACAGACAGAGATCACAAATAGGCAGAGAGGCAGGCAGATAGAGAGAGGGGTGGCGGAGAAGCAGGCTCCCTGCTGACCGGGGAGCCTGACATGGGGCTCGATCCCAGGACCCTGAGATCATGACCTGAGCCGAAGGCAGAAGCTTAACCCACTGAGCCACCCAGGCGCCCCTATCTCATTTTAATACAAAAAACCCTGTCATCAGTAAGAGACCACCCCACACCTCTTAAAATGGCCAAAATCTAGAGCACCGACCACAGCAAAGGCCAGCAAGAATATGGAGCAACAGGAACTCTCATTCATTGCTGGGGAGAATGCAAAATGGTACAGTCACTTTGGATGACAGTTTGGCAGTTTCTTATACAATGAAATATACTCTTACCATATAACCCAGCAATCATGCTCTTTAGTATTTACCCTAAGGAGTTGAAAGATTACATCCACACAAAAATCTGCATGAGGAAGCGGATAGCAGCTTTATTTGTAATTGCCAAAACTTGGAAGTGTCCAAGATGTTCTTCAGTAGCTGAATGGATCCACTGTGGTCCATCCAGACAATTATTCAAAAGAAATGAGGTCTGAAGCCACGGAAAGACATGGAGGATTCTTAAGTGTGTGTCACTAAATGAAAGAAGCCGAGCTGTAAAGGCCACCCACTGCACGATTCCAGCTATGTCATGACATTCCAGAAAAGGAGCAAAGATAGTAAATTCAGTGGTTGCCAGGGTTTGGAAGTGGTGGGGGTAGGGAGCAGGCACATAAGGAAGAGGAGCACAGAGGATGTTTAAGGCAGTGTAAAATATACTCTATTGATGTTAAAATGACGGGTACGTGTCGTCATACAGTTGTCCACAGAATGTACAACACCAAGAGTGAGCCCTAAGGTAAACGATAGACTTAGGGTGATTATCATGTGTCAGTGTCTGCTCATCCTCGGTAAACAACGTACCATTCTGGTGAGTGATGTTAGCAACGGGGAACAGTGGGATAGGGGGTGTGTGACGATCTCTGTACCTCCCTCTCAATTTGGTTATAAACCTAAAATTGCCCTAAAAACATTAATTTTTTTTAAAGATTTTATTTATTTGAGGGCAAGCAAGAGCAAGAGAGATCACAGAGGGAGAGGGAGAAGCGGACTCACCACTGAGCAGAGAGCCTGATGCGGGACTCCATCCCAGGACATCAGGATCGTGACCTGAACCAAAGGCAGATGCTTAACCCACCAAGCCACCCAGGCGCCCCTAAAAAAGATTAATTCTTTGAAAAAGAACAAAAAAAGACAAAGTCCTTGACTCAGTGGAATATATATTCTATTAGGGAAGACAATAAACCCGTAACTGGATGAGTATTGTACGCCCTGAAGACGGGAACACAAGACAGAGTGACAGATGGAGAGTGCTGGGGATTCAGCAGACAACTACTAAGGACCACCAGGAAAGTCTCTATGAAGAGGAGACATTTCAGCTGAAATCTGAGTGAAGAGAAGAGACCAGCCATGCGGAGATCCGGAGGAAGAGCAGTTCTGGGAGAGGGCAGAGCTCAGCAGTCAGGGGAAGAGAAGGAAGGAGCCTGGGGCTGGACTTGAGTGGCTATGGGGCTGTCCTGAGGTTGGAGGAGGGCAGACGGCAGAGGCACGCACTGCAGGGCTCGGGGGAGGGAGTGCTGAGCCCAGTCTAGATGAAGTCTGAGGGCGGACCCTTCCCAATCTCAACTCACTTGTGGGCCCTCTATGATGCCACATGCTTCCGAAGGTGACCCCACTTCCTTCCTCCCAATAGCAGTTACACAATCTGAATTGTGTTCGGAGAGCTTCCCCATCACTCAAGAGCCCTAGCAGGGGTTTACCCCCAGCTCAGTTATCATAAACAGTCATCCCCACCCTCCCTTCCTACAGGTTCTCTGGGCATGGTTGCTGCATCTGTAAAGTGGGCGGGGACAGGGAGGGGGGAACCAAAAAAACAAAAAAGTGCAAATGGCATTTCCAGTTCTGTTGCTGTTGCTTTGGACTGTGATTGGAAGAAGATGCAGCCAAAGTGGGATGAAGGGACGAAATGAAAGCGAAAGATGGAAACAATTCCTCAGGCTCCAGAGGCGGGGGTAGGAAGAGTAGGCTGGGGAAGAAGGGAGGTTTTTAGAAAGCTAGGCAGACAGGGACCCTGTGACCCAGGCTTTCATTTCTCCTGTGCACCCCACGGCACCATGTGACACAGCCCAGCCACAGAAAGGGGAACCGAGAAGAGGCCAGAATTTCCCAAGAAGCAGAAAGCTGGACAGAGGCTGAGCGGGACAGAGAGCCAGAGGGGGCCAGGGAGGAGGGGAGGCAGCGGAAGCAGGGGAGGCAGGGGAGGCAGTGGAGGGGCCAGGAGGAGGCGGTGGGGGCAGAGCGAGCCCTGTGGGAGGGTCCCCTCCCCAGAGGGTAAGCCAGGTGTCACAGGGGTAAGGGAAGACACTTAAGCCCGGGCGACCGGGGAGAGCAACAGGAAAGGAGGGGGAGGGGCAGAGAGGTGGGGCGAAGAAGGGTCGGCAGCGAGGGCAGCGGTGTTGAGAGGAGGGGGAGAAAGGGTGGGGGGGTCGGAAGAGTCAAGGTGGGTGGAGGAGAGAGGACAGAGCCGAGGGTTAGGGCCGGGGAGGTAGAGGCTAGGTGGCCACTGAGGCCGGAGGGGGAGAGAAAGACAGGCAGAGGGGACGGGAAGACAGAGAGGGGGAGCCACAGGGGCTGAGAAAGGAGGGCAGCCCGTCTGAGGGTGCGGGGCCGCAGGGCAGGGCCACAGGCGGAGGATGGCCGCGCGGGGAGCCCGGGAGGAGCGCCGGCCGCTGGTGGCGCGCAGGCCGCGGGCGCCCCGACGGTGGCGGCGGACCGCGGCGGCCGCGGTGCTGCTGGTGGAGACGCTGGAGCGCGCCGCCTTCTTCGGCGTCTCGGCCAACTTGGTGCTCTACCTCAACGGCGCCAGCTTCAACTGGGACGGCCAGCAGGCGTCCCGCGCCGCGCTCGTCTTCCTGGGCGCGTCCTACCTGCTGGCGCCGGTGGGTGGCTGGCTGGCCGACGCGTACCTGGGCCGCTCGCGCGCCATCACGCTCAGCCTGCTGCTCTACCTGGTCGCCTCCAGCCTGCTGCCCGCCACCGCCTTCGTCGACGGCCGCCGCTCCTTCTGCGGGGAGATGACCGAGTCGCCGCTGGCGCCCGCCTGCCCGTCGCCCGACTGCACGAGCATCTCGCCCACCCCGTACTGCGCGCCCACCCTCTACTCCGGGCTGCTGCTGCTCGCCCTCGCCGCCAGCTCCATCAGGAGCAACCTCACCTCCTTCGGGGCGGACCAGGTGAGCGGCGGGCGCGCGCCTGGCGAGGTCCAGGGAGGGCGCAGGGCCTGCGCGGTTCCTGGAGCTGAGACCGAGAGCCAGCAGCGGCCTCAGGCAAACCACTTCCCCCCTTCTCTGCTCCCGGTTTCCTTACTGGAAAGAAGAGGGGGCGCTAGGTCTAACAACAATAACGATGGCCGCGATGGTAATAACCGTTGTTGTTGGCTTTCTTGGACCATGTGCTGCTTTCAATGTTTTAACTCCTTTAATCCTCTTAACTACCCAGGAGGAAGGTGGTGGTGTTATGCCCACTTTACAGATGAGGACGCTGAGGTTTCACTATATGAATCAATCTGTCCAAGGTCACATAGGGAGCAGGTCAAGGGGTGGGAAGGGTAGCTGGACTTCAGGCCCCTCTGGGATCCCCATCTTTATGTGTCCTAGGGAATCTGGGGGCTAGGGAAGGAGTAAGCTCCTTCCTAACCAGCAGAACCAGAGGTGGGGTCCCATAGACTGGTTCAGATCCCAGCTCTGCCTCTCACTAGCCATGAGCACTTGGGCAAATATCTCAGCCTCTGAGGCCTTTCTCTCTGCTTTTGGACAGAGTGCTGCACACAGGAGAAATTCAATAAATATCTACCAAATGAATAAGGGCCCAACGAAATGGCAGTATATATTTTTCTTTTATAGAAAAAAATTTTTTTAAAGATTTTATTTATTTATTTGACAGATCACAAGTAGGCAGAGAGGCAGGCTTCTGTGGGGGTGGGGATGGGCAGGGAGCAGGCTCCCTGATGTGCAGAGAGGCCGATGCTGGGCTCAACCCCAGGACCCTGAGATCATGACCTGAGCCCAAGGCAGAGGCTCAACCCACTGAGCCACCCAGGCACCCCTGATAGGGCTATATTTTGATAACTTCACTCAGTGGGATATTAGACAATAAGTTTAGGTAATATGTAATATGTTTAAAACAACCACATAGGGTGTTAGCAAAAGCAAGGCAGTACTGAGTACAGAATATGATTACAGCCCTTTGAAAAGACTAGGCGTCAGCTAAAACGAGAAACAGGAAAAGGCTGTCACAATAGTGTGATCAGACCACAGGACTTACTGTACTTCTCCCTTACTGCCTCTGTTGTTCAAATGTTCTTTAATTGTATTTATCCACCATCATAAAGGGGATATTTTATTTATTTTTTTTTTTAAGATTTTTTATTATTTATTTATTTGTCAGGGACAGAGGGAGAGAGAGTGAGTGAGCACAGGCAGACAGAGAGGCAGGCAGAGGCAGAGGGAGAAGCAGGTTCCCTGCCAAGCAAGGAGCCCGATGTGGGACTCGATCCCAGGACACTGGGATCATGACCTGAGCCGAAGGCAGCCACTTAACCAACTGAGCCACCCAGGTGTCCCATAAAGGGGATATTTTAAAAGAATCTTTGCATCCTACCCAGTTTCCATTGTCCTTGCCAAGGACTTACTCATCCAGGCTATTGGGGTTCCTTTGATGACCGGGGACTTGGTGCCTCCAGGGCACCCTCTCCATTCCTTGGCTACTGTTGACCTTCCTTCGGACTAGGAGACGCCCAACATCTGTCAATAGGCATCTCTCTTCTTCCCTTCATTCTGCTCTTTCACTGATGTGCACTACACCCCCGCGTGCCCTAGGCTGCCCTCGGGAGTCTGAACCTGACCCATAGGACAAGGTGGAAACACTGAAATGATTCCAGGCAGAGGTGGACATCACTGGATTTGAGTTCTTTAAAAATGTCTCTGGCTGCAATGGAGAGTGGGTGGGGACAGCAGGAGCGGGTACCCCAAAGCAGTGAGGGACTGCTGCGGAATTCAGTAGGGCAGTTAGATGGAGGGTGTGTGGGTGGGAAGGGTTCGCACCATCTGGCAGACAGCCATACCTAGGAGCTGTGTTTTTAACACACTTGCTGATTTCAGAAAGGGCCATCCATCATTCTTGACAAAGTGCTCATTTTGGGAGAGCTCATTTATATCCTGAATGGGCTGCCTGGTCTTCCCTCTTAGAGCTGCAATTTTCATATTAATTTACATCCAATTAATAAATGGAAGTGCCTGCACATAATGGGGCTTATTCAATTTTCTGTTTGAAAGTCAACAGCAAAAATTCTCATGTGGACATGGTCTTCCCCCTCTAATGCCTAGAGGAGCCCTCAGAATCTCTAGGAGTACGCTTCTGTATAGACTATAATTTTACCTTTAGAAAGGCAAAAAAAAAAAAAAAATACTTACCTTTTCCCCAACACAATCACAGAATGCCAAGCTTAACAGATAGGAAAACCAGTGGATTTCGAGATGTGGTGGTTTGTTGAAAAGGTGACAGATGTAACAGAGTACAGAATCACTTTGAAAATTGACCTCTAGTCTTCGCCGCTTTTTAGAAATGCAGATGCCTGGGTCCAGCCCCAGACCTGCTGGGGCAGAAACTGGGACCAGGGTCTGGGAGAAGTAGGACCAGCCAGCACCACTGACCCGAACCAGCAGACCGGAAGGGGGCCTGGGGCTTGACTGTTGTAGATTGATCCAAATCCTGGGTAAAGATTTTCAGTCTTTCTGCCCTTGCTGGGGGGGACTGATTTCTTTTTTTGTCAGGCCAGAACCCGCTCTTGGGGCTGTGTCCGAGACTACCTCTGCTTTCCCTAATAGGCCAACCTTGCTTGACTGGGCCTAGATCAGAAGGAGCAAGAGGAGGGGAAGGGACGGGCCGATGGGTCACAGGAGAAAACTCAGCATTTCCAAATTGCAGAGGAAATTCTCAATTAGACTTTTAACTGTTCACCACATTTAATAATGTGAAATAGACCTGATCTTTTTGGCTTTCTTCTGATTATAAAGGTGAGGCATACTGTAGGCCATTCAGTCGAAGACAAAGGAATAAACCAACCAGAAATGAACAAAGTGACATCAAAGACATCTGTTGTGTGCACTTCTTGGTGAAAATTAAAAAAGCACGGTGTGCCATGGACATGAAAAAACAGCTGTGCCAAACTATCTTGATCATTAACAAGTGACTCCCAAGGGAAAGGCTTATTCATTCTATCAACCAATATTTAGTGCCTATTTAGTGATCAGGGACCAGGAAAGTGCCTCTCTGGGAGAGGGGGTGCAGTACCTCATGGCAGGGTGCCCCCGGTCCTCCCTTACTCTCACCCCTGCCCTGCAGGTGATGGATCTTGGTCGCCATGCCAGCCGTCGCTTCTTCAACTGGCTTTATTGGAGTATCAACGTGGGTGCTGTGCTCTCGCTGCTGGTGGTGGCTTTTATCCAACAGAACATCAACTTCCTGCTGGGCTACAGCATCCCCGTGGGCTGCGTGGGCCTGGCCTTCTTCATCTTCCTCTTTGCCACCCCCATCTTCGTCACCAAGCCCCCCACAGGCAGCCAAGTGTCCTCTATGGTTAAACTCGCTCTCCAAAGCTGCTGTCCCCGGCTGTGGCAACAACACTCTGTCAGGTAAGAAGGGGGCTCTTGGGGAAGAGGGCCATGGAGCATGGACATGTGCTGTGCTCCTCCGGGGGAGGCATGGGCCAGTTGGAAGGACGTTCGGGGTCAACTCCTGTGGTAGTCCTCTATGACGGCCTGCTGTGCTGGGGGCTGGAGCGGCGAGGGTGACTGAGGATGGTGACCGAGGTCAAGGTGGCGGCAGCGGTGGTGCGGCTGGTGGGCTCACTATAGAAAGTGGGAGGCTGTTCGTGGTCTTGACAGTGATGATCGAGGTGGAGGTGTTTGCTAGCAGCCTCGGTGAAGCTAAGTCACTGGTGACTGACGAAGGCGGTAGGGCTGGCTGGTGATAGAGATGATGGTACCAGTGCAGGCTGTTGGGATATAAGATAAGTAATCCAATGCCACACTGGTATTAAGTGTAAGAAAGTCTAAGAGGGCACTGTGTGGTTCAGTAGGTTAAGCATCTGCCTTCGGCTCAGATCATGATCCCAGGGTCCTGGGATGGAGTCCCGCATCGGGCTCTCTGCTCAGCGGGGAGTCTGCTTCTCCCTCTCCCTCCACCCCTCCACCTGCGCATGCTCTCTCTCTCTTCTCTCTCTCAAATAAATAAAAATATTAAAAACAAAAGAAAAGGGGCGCCTGGGTGGCTCGTGGGTTAAGCCTCTGCCTTCAGCTTGGGTCATGATCTCAGGGTCCTGGGATCGAGCCCCGCATCGGGCTCTCTACTCAGCGGGGAGCCTGCTTCCTCCTCGCTCTCTCTCTGCCTGCCTCTCTGCCTGTGTGTGATCTCTGTCTGTCAAATAAATAAATAAATAAATTCTTTGGGAAAAAAAAAGAAATCTGCCACACTTGCTCCCCTTGAGTTAGCCGGCAACCCAGGGAGGAAGGTTCTGAACAGCCTCTCACAGGCACACCAGCTTGCTTTGGCCCCTGTCCTTCCTAAAGTTAATTGATGACTTATGCTAAGCAAACCTGTGTCTAGACCCTGGAACCGGTTACGGAGCCTGTCAGTAGGATCTAGATGGAAAAGGGGCAGCACATGTTTGTCTGAGCTGGTGCATTGCTTTGCTGTGGGGTTTCCTTTTAACGATCCAGCATAGCCCAGCAGACCGTCCTGGAATTCAGTGGCTGAAGCAACTGTGTTTTCTTACCTGTCATAATTCCACGGTGACTGGGCTCAGCCGGGCAGTTCTTCTTCTTCTTGTGATGTCATTGTGGGGAGGGGGGGCTGCAGTCATCTGGCCAAAGGGGTTAAAACCATCCAAGATGGCTCACTTACGTCACTGGTAGTCCACATCTCGTCCCCCATCATGGGGCCTCATGCCTGTGGCTGGAGCTCCTCACGGCAAGGGGGGTTGTAGGAGAAAGAGTTTTCAAAGAGTGAACGCTCTGAAGGGAAAGAGACAGAAACTATTGGTCTTAGAGTCTGATATCGGGCTTGGAGTCCCCGAGCCACCACTTCTGCTCATTCCGTGGGTCAGCCACAAGGCCAGCCTGGATTCCAGGCAGGGGAGCGAATCGGCCGTTGGTGGAGGAGTGGCATCCCACCATGGGAGGGGAGAGGCTAATAGTGGCCATCTTTAGAAATGACTGCACTGGTGTTGCCCTTTTTGGCATCTCAAAGGATGAGGCAAGGCTCTAGATCAAGAAGGGATTAGAAACCTGTCCAGACAAAGGGCAAAGGGGGAAGGTCGCAGCAGTGGTTAATCTATCCTGTTTCCCAACAATTTCCCCTACACCCCTACCTCTCCACTGTCTCCGTCCATAGGGAGAGGGCTGTAATGTTGCCTGTTGAGGAGGATGGACTTGGTGATGGCAAATGGGGGTGCTTTGGGGTATGTCAGATCTGGGCCACCCTCTCTCTCTCTGAGTCAGGCTTGGATTGGGACTTCCTTGCTTCCATGGGACGCTGATACTGAGGCCAAAAGTTCCCCAACACTCTGTTCACCACAGTCCCTGGTCTTCCTTCCCCAGACCGCTGGGCTCGAGCTCCAGGAGGGAGGGGTCTTGATCAGCCACCTGTGCGAGAAAGGGGACAGTAAGCACAGTGACAGGGAGTGTAATGAACAGTTGGTGGGAGGTTGGCTTTGGGGGGAGATCGCCTCATTCACGACGATGATGGCGAGGATGGTGATGATGGTGATGATTGAGAAGGTGATGCTCCTGGTGGAGGGAGGAGATGGGTGATCTCAGAGGTGACCACTAGTGATGGAGGAGCAAGATAACGGTGGCCGTGGGGGTGGTGATGGCTGCTATTTTATCTGCTGCCCCCCATCACCCCACAGAGACCCTCAAAGCACCCAGCCGCTGCCTAACCAGAGGTCTCCCCAGCCTGGCCCTTCCCCCCAAGAGGACATGGCCAACTTTCAGGTGCTGGTGAAGCTCTTGCCGGTCATGGTGACCCTGGTGCCTTACTGGATGGTGTATTTCCAGGTGAGCATCCGGGTCTTTCGCTCTGGGGGCACAGGCTCCCTGGTCACCTGACAGGCCTCCGCTCTCACCGTAGAAGCCCAGAGCTTGTGGAAGAGAAGGCAGGGGGTTGCAGCATGACCTGTGGCTACACAGGGCCTGGCACAAAGCCATCCCGGTAGAGAATAGCATGAGGAACTCTGGAGACGGGTTTGAGGCCCAGTGCCCCGAATGTCACCCTGTCTGTCTGGGCCTCATGTGCCAAACGGGGGTTGTGGAGGCTCCCCCCAGCTCAAGAGCAGTCAGATCCTCTGACGTGGCAACGGAGGCCCAGGGTTGCCCAACGCCACATAGCCAATCAGGGGTGAGCTCCGTGGGTTGAGTCCCCTACCCGGGCTGTGTCTCAGAACCACCTGCAGAGCTTTTGAAACTGATTCCATGTCCCACCCCAGACTGTGGGGGGAAGTCTCTAGAAGGGTAAACTTCTCAGGTGAGACTGGTACTCAGCCTGAGAGTCTCTGCTTCCAGCCATCTCCTCAGGGGAAGGCTGTGGGGGGAGGGTGGGAGGTGGGCGGTGGGCAGCAGCTTATAGCCCCAACTTTTAGCCCCCAGAGGACAAGGCCTTTGCCTTCTATACCCCCTTCCTAGGAAGCTTGTTTTGCATTTACCGAATATGGGGGTTGTGTAGGGCCAGCCTGCTATTTGGGGTGACACAGAGGCGAGGGGACAGGGACATGAGGAGGGTGTGTGTATGCGTCCGCTGCTGATTCTCAGAATACTGACATCATTACACACCAGTTGGTGGATAGCTGCTGTCCTGAGCACCCTGAGTGCCCTCTCCTGCCCCAGGCCCTCCTGGGGGATCCTCCCGGTCCCCCAGTTTTATAGAGCAGCTAACAGGGTGATGCCCAGTGTGGCAGTGGGCTCCCTAGAGCCTTCCCAGAGCCATTCTGGTGGGCCAGGGCCTACCCGGGGCCTGTGCTGTGTCAGCCCGTGGGATGCAGCTTGGCCTCAGTGTCAACGGAGAGCTCCCCGTGGGGACAGCCATGTCATTATCTTCCCCATGTCAACAGACATTTCTCCACACCTCCTCTGTGCCAGGTCCTGGAGACACCAAATGTGAGTCAGACCAGCTGTGCCCAGGCTCTGGGATAAGGCTGCACACAGGGCTCATGGGCCTGGAAGCAGAGCGAAGGAGGCTCCCTGACCCGGCCTGGCTCCTGAGGAGGAAGGAGAATGGCGGGGGTGGGGTTTGGTCACATCCCCTGAGGCTGGGGGAGAGGACCGCTGTCCTGCGGCCTGGTGCTCCTTCTGAAGAACGCCCATCGAGGAGCTGGCCGGCTCCCGGGCTGAGGGGGAGGCGGCCAGCTCTGTGCCAGCCACGGCTCCGCCCCTCTTGGCAGATGCAGTCCACATACGTCCTGCAGGGTCTTCACCTCCGCATCCCGAACATTTTCCCAGACAACCCTGCCAACAGCTCCGCGGCTCTGCGAGCTCAGCCCAGCGGCTACAAGGTAAGAGGCCAGGCGGGGGTTCAGCCCCGACGGCAGGCGGTGCTGGGTGTCTCCTCTGTAAACAGAAGGCAATGAAGCTGTTCCCACGCCCAGGGGCAGGGGGTCCTCAGGGAACAGGAAAAGCACCTGGAGGACGGGTCAACTTGTGCCCCAGCCCAGGCATCCTGCCAAGATGCTCAGCTGTTCCAGAGAATTCGGGGCCAGCTTTGCTCCCGCCCACTGCCGCTCTGAGGCAGCCCTCAGCGCCTTCAAGGTGCGCTTGGGTCCCTCAATTTCACCTTGACTTCCCTCACTCTCTGGGATGCCTGGATGCCCAGATGTCTGTCTTTCACCAGAACTTGCCAAACCAGTTCCTTGGCATGTCAAAGACTCATAACATCAAAGACCCTCAGAGCTGAGGGTGTGACATTTGCCACTATACCTTCATTCCTTGCTCAGGGCAGACATCACTAGTCCATCCTGACATGTTTTCATGCAGAGCCCAAGAATGTTCCAGGCAGCCATTACCCACTGATAGAAGCCAGAGAAACCTATTTGCCATCCTCTGATTTAATCCCATCCCCGACTTACCCAGTGGAGCAAGGTGCATTCCAGAGAGGGGAAAGGGCTGACCTTGGATCATTCAGGAGGCCAGCGCTCCCCGCTCCTGTCCAGAGCTCCTTCTGCACTGCTAGCCCGTCTTGTTTGGTCCCCTCTTGCCCAGACCCCAGAAGCCTGGCTCCTCCTGGCCAACGTCGTGGTGGTGCTCATCCTGGTGCCCGTGAAGGACCACTTGCTGGACCCTTTACTGCTGCGATGTAAGCTGCTTCCCTCTGCCCTGCAGAAGATGGCCCTGGGGATGTTCTTCGGCTTTGCCTCTGTCCTTGTGGCAGGTGTGTGGGCCTTAGTGGAGGGACATGGGGAGGGAGGCTGGCTCTGCTTTGGGCTGATGCTGGAACTGTGGGCCTAGGCCATGTATACCCTCCCACCATGGGTGTCAGTCTTGGCTTCCCAGGGGGTGTGAGCTGAGGGGGACCTTCCTCCTCTAGTCCCATCTCTGCTCATCAGATGAGGGAACTCAGGCCAAGAGATGCAAAAAGATTTTCCCCAGTGGCATGGAAGCTCCCTGAAGACAGGTTTTCTTTTCCTTTTTCATTCATTGCTATGAATAATGCACATGGCACCCAATCAATGTGTTGGAGAATTTTTCAGACACTCAGACACTTAAAAAAAAAGAATTTATTATTTATTCTCTTCCTTCTTCTGGTTCAAAATGATTTGAAGCCATTTATGACAAAGGGGTCCTGGTAACGAAGCCTTTCATGCTACTGCACAAACCTTTGTCCCTTTCACTCAGCAACTCAGTGATCCCGAGGTTACTAAATGTCTTTGAGCCCCGTCTTTGCAATGGGGATAGTAATTCGTTCAGCCCCAGAGCAGGACCCGAGTTCTGCCTCATGGAATGTAGTCTAGCAGGAGTGTTGTGCAGATTAAAAAAAGGCGAAGTCTGTGAGACACCCAGCACTGTGCCTGGATTATGAGGAGCCAGGGGAATCAAAGCTCAAAAACCAGGATTGTGTTGCAAGGACAAAAACCAAACTAGGTTCTTTTTCAACCTGTGCTTTAATGCAGTTTGTCCTAGTTCATCCCCATAGCAATCCTGGGATTTTTTTTTTTTTTTTTTAAGATTTTGTTTATTTATTTGGCAGAGAGAGACAGTGAAAGAGAGAACACAAGCGGGGGAGTGGGAAAGGGAGAAGCAGGCCTCCTGCTGAGCAGGTAGCCAGATCCGGGTCTTGACCCGGGACCCCGGGATCATGACCTGAGCTGAAGGCAAAAGCTTAATGACTGAGCCACCCAGCGCCCCTTATCCTGGGATTTTTATTCCTACTTTTTGCATGAGAGCACTGGGTCTCAGGGAGTTTAAGTGATTTGCCCACGGTCACACAGCTAACCAGTGCCAGGGCTCAGGACTGGAACCTACATCACCTCCCACCACATCCAGTGTTCATGCCACGACAGCACAGCCGTCTCCTAAGCAATGAGGGGGAAGGAGGTAAAAATAAGCTTGAGAACCAGGTTAAAAACCCTTCTGGATTTCCCGTGGTATCAGGGAAATGGGGCTAGCTGTGAAACCAGATGCTGGCTGTGACATCAAATCCAGCGCCAACTCCTCATCAGCTTGGGTGACCCTGGGCTGGTCGCTTAGCCTAAAATTGTCTTTCTTCATTTGCAAGAATGCATATTAAATGCCCAGCACGTAACAGGCTCTCAATTAACACAAGCTGTTCCTGTTTATGAGTGCAAAACTGCATTCTGAGCTTCTTAGCAGTCAAGGCAAAAGTCGAAGAGTTGAAGCTCAAATCTCGGACCTCCAGCCTGCCCCCAGGCCCGTGTGTGCTTTTCCTTTCCTGCCACTCGGTCCCTGGTGACCTAGTGAATACCAACCACGAGACAAGCTCTGCCCTGGGCTAAGCTTCCGATGCTGGGCCTGGCTATTTATATCCCCCACCCCCACCCCCTTCCACCCAAGGAGGCCTGGAGATGGAGCGCTTACAGTATGTCCATCACAACCAGACGGTGTCCCAGCAGATCGGGAAGGATGTGTACTACGCAGCTCCGCTGTCCATCTGGTGGCAGATCCCTCAGTACCTGCTCATCGGGATCAGTGAGATTTTTGCCAGTATCCCAGGTACCCCGGCCCCCTCCCCTGCTCTCACGCCAATGACGGGCTCTGCCTGGTGCTGCCTCAAAGTTGGAGGTCTCACGGGTCCAGCTTCTGGAGTTCACGGGGGTGGAGGAAGGCCAGGTTTTCTGGGTGGGGCCGAGTTCACCCAGGGGAGACTCACTAGCTCCTGCTTTGGGCCAGGCAGTAGTCTAGGCACTGGAGGTTTGCAGGTGGTTAAGACATTCCCTACCGACTTCCTACATCGTCCCTGGTGCTGTGTTCTTCATCCCCCGTGTCTGTGCGGGTGCTGTTCCCTGTGCCTCAGGTCCAAAGTGAACCCCGCTTTCCCCATCACCGCTGAGCCTAAATGCCAACTCCTCCATAAAGCCCTTTCGGAGGCCCCTGGGCAGAGGAAGTTCTTCCATCCTCCTTCCCTCGTCTCTATTGCGGGTCACTAATAACTCAGGACGTTTGCGGCCCTGGCCGGGCTGTGAGCCGGAGCTGTGGAGTGGAGGTGGGCTCTTTGTTCAGCCAAGTAGCAGGAGCTACTCAGCTGGAGGCCCAGGACTAGGCTCTCGTGGGACTCACTCAGAACTGGGTGGGGGGACGGTCACGAAGACAGTAAACCCAGGGGAGGGCTATAGCGGTGGCTCCAGGGTGTAGGGAGAGTCCCTGGGACGAGGTGGGGAGCAGGCAGGTGGGCAGGGAGGGCAGAACTCAGCTGGTAGCAGGAAGGATGTTTGCAGGCAGGGGGAACAGCAGATGCGAAGAGCTAAGCCTTGTGGGGAGTGTGCGGGGGCTGGGGACGGATGGGGCCAAACCTGGATGGATGTTGAAGTCTCTCCCGAGGGCAACAACAGCGCCCACCCCCCCCCCCCCCGCCCCCAAGGGGACTTTGGCAGGGAAAGGATCCCGATCCTATTAGAGTTTTTTTTAGACAGACCCATCTGGCTGTGTGAGGAGGAAGGCAGGAAGCAGGGGGGTGGTTTAAGAGGCATTTGCAGGGGCTGGACAGTAAATGACCAGGGCAGCGCTTTGGCCTGGGGCAGAGGGAACAGAGACGGGGGCCGACATGAAGTTTCTCAGGTTAAATCAAAAGGATTTGGCGATGATGTTGAAGGAGGGTGGAGGAGGGTAGGGGAGAGAGGGGTGCTGTCCCTGATATGGGAGACCGAGGAGGAGGGTGACAGAGCAATGGGGGGTGCATCCAGGCGGAGGTGTTCAGCCAGGGGACTAGATGAGCAGGGCAGAGGCAAGGGGTCACGGGGGCACGGGGGTCATCCTAGCCTCGTGGCGGGCAGTCATGCCGGGGAGGCCAGGACGGAGGCTGGGTGGGCCCCATCTCTGCTCCTCCAGCGGCCGCTTGGGTCTCCCCCCCCCGTCCCTCTGCAGGCCTGGAGTTTGCGTACTCGGAGGCTCCGCGTTCCATGCAGGGAGCCATCATGGGTATCTTCTTCTGCCTGTCGGGAGTGGGCTCGCTGTTGGGCTCCAGCCTTGTGGCCCTGCTGTCCCTGCCCGGGGGCTGGCTCTATTGCCCTAAGGACTTTGGTGAGTGTGGGGCCCTCCCCGGGGACTGGGACCTGGGTGGTGGGAGGCTTGGAGAGGTGGCAACTAAGTGCTTTGACCCCAGGCCCAGTGAAACAGCAGCCTGGACTCAGAAGAACCGGGTTCTAGCCCCAACTTGGCCAGTCGCCCATGTGGCCTCCCCGCCTTGGGCCTCAGTTTCCCTAACTGTCAAAAGGGAATCTGTGTACTCGACAGACCTCCAAGGCTCCTTCCTGCTTCTGGAAGTCTGCCGTTCCGGCTGAAGGGCCAACTTTCTCTGGGGTCTTTGTGTTTTAAGCCCCTGAAAGAACATCTGATGGGGACTCGCAGGCAGCACAGGATGAGAGGGCTGTCTGTCCACCCACTCCCCACACGCCTTCAGCCGCCAGTCCTGGGGGAGCCCTGCTTGACCCAAATGCCAACCCCTCCTTTCCCCAGGGAACATCAACAATTGCCGGATGGACCTGTACTTCTTCCTGCTGGCTGGCATCCAGGCTGCCACGGCCCTCCTGTTTATGTGGATCGCCGGCCGCTACGAGAGGGTAGCTCAGGCCCCAATTTCCCAAAGCTGTCCCAGCAGGGACAGGGGCTGAACACCCTCCCTGCCCTTCTCTCCCCAGGACACAGACAGTCCAGGACCAGTGGAGGTTCCTTGAGTTTATTCTGTACCCAATGTTAGGATGAAATGGTTCATAAATAAGGGGCATAAGCCCTTCCTCACGAGCATGGTCCATGACGGGGGTGGGGCAGGGCAAAGGGGACCTGGGTGGGCGTCCTTTGGAGAGACCAGGTGGGGGACTTGGATCCGCAAGCACCAGAGGCTGCTCGCGAGGCTGCCCGGGCTGGCGGCCGACGGGGCCGGGCCAGGCAGGCTGGGGAGGGGTCAAGAGCTGCCCCGGATCCTCTCCATGTAGCTGCGCAGCTCCTCAGGGTCCTTCAGTCCCATGTCCTCACACACCCAGCGGATGTCCTCCTCGCCCGCCACCAGGATGGACTGCACGGCAGGGGGCCCTACGGGCTCCTCAGACGGCTGGGCTGGGGGTGCTGTCGCAAACGTCACGAACTCTACACGCTTCCGCCGCCCCCCGGCTTCCTTCCGGGCCAGGGTGCTTGAGGAGCTGGTGGTGCCCCCAGCAGGGGCCTGGGCCACAGTCAAGGCTTCTCCTCCTGCCCCAGTCTCGCAGGGGCAGCCCCCCTCCCCCTTGGGCAGGCCGGGGGACTGGCGGTCCAGCTGGCGGCTCAGTTCCTCCTGGTCAGTGCCCAGCCAGACCCAATTGTGGGGCTGGGGGGAGGCAGGGTCGATGGCACCGTCAGGAGGCTCCTTGCGCTGGTAGCGCAGCACGAAGACCACACCGTTGACCAGGAAGATGAGGATGGCCAGACAGAAGATGCCCAGCAGAGCGTACATGCCCAGCTCTAGGTCCGTGACCCGCTGAGGGGCGGGGACCATCTCCTCCTCTTCCTCCTCCTCTCCAGCCTCTGCCTCCTTCCCAGCCTCCTCCTCTGCCCGCTCAAACTTGCCCCTCACACCCCCTTTGCCCCCAATACCACCCGCCTCCCATTGTTTCCCTCCCACGCTGGCCTCCGTGTCTGGTGAGCTCCGGCCAGGGCTGGATGGGAGGGCAGGGGCCGGAGTAGGAGCAGGGGGCAGCCCCAGCCAGGCAGTGCCAGAGGCCAGGGGGACTCGGTGGCGGCCCCGGCGGCAGGGCTCGGGCGGGTGCAGAGCCACGTGCAGAGGCAGCCCCTCGGCCCCTGCCCCACTCACCACCACCCCGAGCTGGGCACCCCGCTCCTCGGCTGGCAGGACGGCACTGGGCTCCTCGGCTGAGACAGACAGTCCCAGGTCATGGTGGTCGTAGAGCTCAGCGGGGGCCAGGGTGTGATCCGAGAAGGACAGCCAGAGGGAGAGGGCCACCTCCTGTGGGGCACACGGACACAGGCAGAGACACGCGAGGGCACGCACGCATGCACACAGAGACCACTCCCACAGAGACAGGCCACACGGAGGAGGAGAGATCAGAGAGAAAACAGACACGGGCAGATGGACAAAACACAGGGAGAGAGGGGACGTGTGTCAATCACCTGTCTGCCACTCAGCCCTGGGGTCTGAGTCATCGGGAGGGTCCTCAGAGCCATCTAACCAACCTCCCACTGCCACACTCCAGCCAGCCACTGCTTGATCACCTCTATCCACAGAGAGCTCACTACCTCACAGGGCAGTCAGTCCTCATTCTGAAAACCCTAAGGTGAGGGGTCCAGGTGCCTCCCATCCCCCTGTCATTAGCCCCCACCTAGAGATGTTGACCTCATCCCCCTGACCCCTGGCCGTCACCTGCTTTGGGGCGGGAAAGGCTGACTGTGCCCAGCATGTGGCCGTGACCTCCCCGGGGTGGGCAGTGCCTCGGCTCAGGGCCAGTGAGATGCCCATCACCGGCTGCACCCGTAGCTCCAACACCGAGACCTTGTCATCTGTCACAGCCAATGCCTGCTCTCCCAGAATGGAGTCAGACAGTGGGGAACGCACCTGAGGGTGAGAGAGAGCTCCAAGTTGTGGGGGGCCAAGAAAGTACACAGACAGCCCCTCCTCTCTGAGCCCCACCCTCTGCCCTCCATACGACCAATACATACCAGGACCCCGATCCCATGCCTCGGGAACAGTTCCCTCCTCTCTCAAGTTCTGGCCCCCACATATCCAACCCCAGCCCTTCATGCTTTGAGGGTGTCCCCCATTACATGGGCCATCTTATTCTCACCCAATCCCCAATCTCACTGGGTGCCTACCTGCTCAGGTACACCCTGGGCCCATTCTGACACTCTTCACACCTGCCCATGAACATTTTGGGGGCCTTGCGGGGAGCGCTCTACCTACCTCAATGGAGGTGACACCAGGCTCCCGGCCCACCAGGATGCTGCCGCCCTCCAGCGAGGCTACGCGTGGGTCCTGCACACGTGCGTGCGGCGCCACGAGGTGGGACACGTCCAGCAGCCAGTCGGGGCCAAGCAGGTGGGTGAGGCGGCGCCCACCGTCCAGCGGGTGGGCCGCGAAGGGGACAAGGAAGCGCACGCTGGCCCGCTGGTACTGTAGGCGGCAGCCACGGGCTCGCCGTTCGGCCTCCTCTGCCATCCCAGTAGCCTCGGGTTCCGGTACCCTGAGGGTGGGGGTGGGGAACGGACAAACCCGGGGGCAGGCCATCGGCTCAGGCTCCGCCCCAGCCGCGGAGGGTCCCGGCCTCTGGAGACTCGCAGCTCCTAAGGGATGTGCACAGCTGCCCCTCTACTGTCCCTCTATGTGCGGGTGCCCCGCCACAGCCCTGTTCCTAATTGGTGCCTTTGCCTGTCCATCAGGCTGCCCTCCTCTTGCTCCTAATCTGAATTCCTGTCTCCCAGGGAGGTGGAGAGACCATCTCTGAACGGGGAGTTGTTGGAGTGCTCACGGTCCAGAAGGCCTGGCTCAGATTCCTGAGACCGCCTCACCATTGGGCTCTGGTGGGACCCTCTCGATATTTACTGAGCTAGGTGCCATCTTAGGCTTTGAGGACCCAGCAGCGAACAGAATAGACAAAACCCCCCGCCTTTAAGGTCTTACATTCTCAGGGAAGAGAGTGAAGGTGGGTGGGGTTAATCAGGCAACCCAGTAATTAGGAAATGATCTGGACTTCGGAGAAGGGGGAGAGGGAGCGTGGAGGTCCGTGATCACAAAGTGGCCAGAGGCCGCTTGATGACGGGTAGGTGGGTTGGAGGAACCAGAAACAATGGGGGTGGTTTTTTAGACCCCAGGTTGAGCCCCTGGCTGTGTTCCTGCACCATCTCTCAGGTCCCAGAGCGACTTCACCAAGGCCTCCACTCACCCTTCAGCTGCGCTGGGGACCCTCCAGCCTCGGACCTGCTCCAGGGTGGTGTCGCTCAGCTCCACACGCAGGGGCAGCAGCGGGGCCCACACTGTCAGCCGCAGCGAGGCCCTCAGCCGGCGCCACCAGAAATCTACCCGCACCCCGCGGGCGCCCCGGCTCTCCTTGCCAGACACAAACACAGCATCACAGGTCTCCGACACCTACAGGAGGGTGGGAGCTGGGCTAAGCCTTGGAAGACAGGGCTTCGCCATGAGGGGCAGGGCTGAAATTCATCCTGCATTTTACTGGCATGTCTTAAGAGTAGAAAGATTTCACCAAGGGGCACGTAGGTTCCTCAGTCGGTTAAGGGTCTGCCTTCGGCTCAGGTCATGGTCTCAGGGTCCTGGGATTGAGCCCCATGTGGGAGCCTGCTTCTCCCTCTGCCTTTGCCCCTCGCCCCTGCTCATGCTCTCTCTCAAATAAAATCTTGAAAAAAAAGTGGGGGGGGGGTTCACCATGCCTCCAAGATTCAATCTGGAGAAACCAGTCATTCCTCAAGTTCACCCGGGGCTCAGCTGGGGAAACCAGCTATTTGCCTACAACAAAATCTTTCTCTTCGTGGTGGAGAGTTCAAACCCACGCATTTGGCTCCTCATTAGTGCTGACCTCTGACTTTTGTGTGGGAGCCGCCTGGCAACCAACTGCAGGAAGGTGGGCAGCGGCAAGACAGGCCTACCCGCCCGAGGGCCCTCAGGAGGGAGTCACTCACATAGGGGCAAAGTGCCATCGTAAGTGGCAAGACATCTTTTCCAGTCAGGCAGCCAGGAGTTAGGAAATGCAGGCTCTGGGTTTCTCCTCTTAGAACTTCAAAACGGAGAAAGTTGCCTACCCTTTTTTTTATCTCATGGATCATTACAAGGCTCTAATAATTACCATTTTTAGCATCCTATAAGTATTACATTGCATTAAAAGCTGCCGTGGCTTAAGCTGCTGCTCTCTGCTGGTATAGTGTCTTAGGGTGATTTTAGTTCATCTTTTTCCTTTTTTTAAGAGAGGGAGAGAGTCAGGGAGGGGCAGAAGGAGAGGGAGAATCTTAAGCAGACTCCATGCCCGGAGCAGAGCCAGATGTGGGGCTCAATCTCACGACCCTGAGATTTTGACATGAGCTGAAATCAAGAAGTGCATACTTAACCAACTGAGCCACCCAGGCACTTCTGGGAGCTTCTGATTCTTACAACACTCTAATATATTCCCATTTTAAAGCTTAGAAAACTGAGGCTCAGAGAGGTGAAGAGACTTGCCCATCATCACACAGCTAATTGATAACAAAGATGGGTTTTCTCCTCTTTCTCTTTCTTTCTTTCTTAGATTTATTTATTTGACAGAGAGGGAAAGCGAGAGCTAGCGTACAAGCACAGGGGGAGCAGCAGTCAGAGGGAGAGGGAGAAGCAGATTCCTCATTGAGGAGGGACTCCAATGTGGGGCTCGATCCCAGGACCCCAGATCATAACCTAAGCTGAAGGCAGATGCCTAACCAACTGAACCACCCAGGCACTCCCAAAGATGGGTTTCAAACTAAAATTTGTTGGTCCCAACATTTATACTCTCCCTCTTTTTTTTTTTAAGTAGGCTCTAGCTCTGTGTCCAACATGCGTCTTGAACTCAGGACCCCACGATCAATAGTCACATGGCCTACTGACTGAGCCAGTCATGTGCCTCCAAAGTATGCACTCTTAACTCTCCCACATCGGATCATTTGTCAATGAACGTGGAGGTGCCTAACCTGAGGCTGCTGGGGCGACACAGCTCCCACCTGACTGTGGAGAAAGGTGGTGGGAACGAATGAAGTTGAATCTGTGGTTACCTCCACGAGGTTTCTGGTGTGAAGAAACA